CGGACGCAGAGAGAGAGAGAGAGAGAGAGAGAGAGAGAGAGAGAGAGAGAGAGGTGTAGCCTATGTGCAGTGGTGATGCAAAGTCCGATTCATTTCGGCAAACCGGTTCTTTTGGACTTCAAAAAACTGATTCATCGGTTCACGCAATTATATCAATATGCATTTCCTTTCTGACAACACTCAGTTCATGTTATATCAATGAAACCAAATAAAGTTATTTGTGTGAACGCATATAGCTGATTGCCTTTCATTCATTGAAGTTAATGATGTGGTCACGGTTTCATTCGCTGATCCGTCATGTCAGATACGACAGACCAATATAGTAACATCTTGGATTAGTTTAAAAGTTTCGCACTTACAGCATGCATTACAGAACGTGTTCTGCATGTATAAAGTATATAGAAAGAAGGTCCCACTTTATATTAAATGGCCCTAATACCTGAGTACTTACATAGTAACTAGATGTGTACTGTCACGAATCCGGTCCATGAACTTCCATCTGCTCGCCACCAGAGGTCACTCTTCCACTACTATGGACTCTTGCACCACACCACTGTTGCACTTCACCCGGACTACAGTTCCCATCATCCACTGTACTGATTACACACACACAGTTGATTGCACACAGCTGTAATCAATCACACATTCCCTATATAACACTCACTCTGATCCCTTCCCACAACCTGCCTGTCATGAGCCCAGAGAATAAGAACGCATTCCGTGTCTGTCCCTTTAACTCTGTCGCTACCCTAGAGAACAGTGATGAGCTTCTTGTGTTCTCTGCCTTGGTCCCTGAAACCAGGAATGCACTGCCTGTGTTGTCTGTCTCTGTTTTCTCTAGGCCCCAGTCTCTGCCATGGGTCCCGGCTCCGTCTGCTCTGGCCTGGTGGTCTTCTGTCCTGCTCTGGTGGTCTTCTGCTCTGCCGTGGGGATCTTCGGACCCGTCTGCTCAGCTGTGGTGGTCCTCAGCTCCACCTGTTCTGCCGGCCCCACTCTGGCTCCCTGCTTCGCCGGCTCCACCCTGGTTTCCTGCTTCGCCGGTTCTGCCTTGGTGCTCTGCTCTGCCAACTCTGCCTCAGTCCCCGTAGTCTTAGTCTAAGTCTAGTCTCGCCGTGTTTTCTGATTTACTGGTACCTGATTTTTGCCTGTTTATCGTAAGTTAACCCTTTGCCTGCTGTTTCGGACTGTGTTTGCACCTCGCCTGGACTCAACTTAAAATATAGTCCTATTATATTTCTATCCTATCATATTATATTATAATCCTATAGAAATGTAGACCTATTTAATAAATCTACTAATAAGCATATTTCCAGTACGCATTGTTTATTATTAAAGGGGTCATATGATGTTGCTAAAAATAACATTATTTTGTGTATTTGGTGTAATGAAATGTGTTTATTTAACTATTGCAATTACAACAGGAAACACACTTTTTAAGGTGCACAATCTCCACCTCCAACATTGCCAAAAGACATTGAACACAATTCTGCACAAAAAATTACAGTATAAGTTATCAGAACTTTGTTGGTACTGACCTACCATCACCTTTATAAAACCCGCTGTTTGAGAAGGGCGGATAATAACATTAAAGGGGTCTTATTATGCTCTTTTACAAAGTCTTGATTTTGTTTTGGGGGTGTACTAGAACAGGCTCTCATACTAGGTTGTATTTTTCACATATTTTACATTATTACAACACCTCTCTCCCCAGTCTGGCATGAACGGCTCGAATAGTTCCTGTA